GTGTTGTATTAGTGAGAGTGGAACGGTTGTATGATAGTCGAGGATGTGGGTGAATGTCCACAAAATAAAATAGAAAGTCAACTCAATATTAATATCAGATGATAATAATTAGGGATTTAGAAAAATTTATGAAATTTATACTTGTGAATTTAGTATCATAATAGGTAAATATTGCTGATTTTACTATTCTGTTTGTTTCTCGATTCAACAGTGTAATCCTATCGATATTAATGATTATTGAAGTGTGTTACTGTATAATGAGAAACATTTTGCATTTCGACTTGACAGTAACAATGCATGTGATGCAAGTGCGCTCGCTCTGTCTCCAAAGCATTTCAACGGGATATTTGTATGTGCCTCGTACTCAATAGGATCATTAGGTGTATGTATTACAATTGAAGTGACCCTGAATTATTGAAACAAGGTTTATGTTATTGTGTGTATGACATTCAATTTGTCTGAATAAGCAAGATAAATCTCATCGGATTGATTGGGTATTTGTAGGTAATTGAAACACCACATACTGAAATGTGATGACTGTTCATCATACAATTTTGCAAAAGCACAGCATGCTTTGTGTAAATGTGACTGTATTATACATTTTTAGTGAGATGAAATTGGCATATATTTTATCTTCATTTGACCTCATTTTATGAAGTATGCATGAACTTTTGAGTCAGTGTGTGAGTCAGTCGCATTTGTCTAAAGTAGATCTTCATTTCTACCATTGTATCGAGCGTTCGAGCCTTATCACGAATTTCGAACTGTTAAGATTGGTGACTTAATTTAATTTTTCTAATTGTGTGAGCGACATCACTTCTGATCAATCTGATTTCAGGAGTGCTTCATGAGTACTTGCCATATCAACTGATTCATCATAGTATTGAGTATGGTTTCTACGTTCCATGTATAAGGTATGAGAGCGTCGAACATGTGCTACAATAAGATCTGAAATGTGGTCAGAATGTGAATCATTTAAACCATATTTTTCACATTGAGTCAGGTTGAATGTATTGTGAGGATGAATAACATTTGATAAGTGACCACAAGATCTATGTTTAGATTTGAACCTAATTAGAATTTCTGCTTCATTTGACTAAAATTTTCGCTAGAAATAGATGCATTATGAAAACAAGCAATATTTGTTATGATATGTCTAGTATGTGATTCATTTACAATTATTTTTCCTAAATTCTTTAAGGAGTTTATTAGAAACTAGTGAAACATTAACACAGTCAGCATTCGATATGACATCATTTGATCATAAACTGATTTATCTGAAACTCTTGTCCTTCAATGATTTTGAATTTTACTCGATATGACTGGATAATTAGAATGAGAGAAATCTGATTAAAGGATATTTGAACATTTCCCAGAGTCAACCTTGTGAAAGAATTTGTTGACCTCTTTCTCAATCATAAAATTGTTTCTTATTGCAACAAGAAATGTGTCGGTTACCCCATTAAATTTTTTAGTACACTTCTGGATTTGACTGTTGAATCATGTGTTCGTTTAATGCATCAATGAGTATTGAACGAGATCTAACGAACACATCTTCATTAAAATGAAGCATTAATTTTACTGGAATTGACATGTTCTTAAATCAGTAACCGCGTCGTTTGTTGTAACAGCAACTTGCTAAAAAAGAAATCACAAGAATATCTATATCTGATGAAAGAGGATTTGATGTAAGTGGAACTGAAACTGGATTATAATTGGAATCAGACAGTTATATTGGGAACTAAAACTTGTAAATTGACCCCTTCAGTGTTTTTCATGGTTTCTTTTTTTCAAAATTCCCGTCGTCAGTTGTTGTGACTGTGTGGCCAACTGTTATGTCTAATCTTCGCTAATTATTAGGTCGGAATCACTTACTACTCATACTTATAAAACGAGAAACCACTACAGTAAGAATATCAAGACTGGTACGAGTAAACATTTGTTAACCCCAAAAACACGACGACAGCCCGCGTCGAAAATACAACTCATGATGGACACATTAAAAGCCATATGATTTAACTTGACACGATATGTCTATGGGAAACATAAAACTCTGAGCAAAGTGGACGAGATAATACGAATCGAAATTAAAGCATACTCTACAATTTGTTATCTATGAACTGTTGATTCCGTCACAATACGTGTCTCCGTACATATTGGTGATTTTAAATATGCTTGCATCGAAACACTGCAGTCTAAAGTTAGACGCTGATTAGTCCTTCATTGATAACTTTACCAATGATTACATGAGGATCGTAGCTCTAAACTAATACGTCTGTACTCGATGAACTATCATAAGGTTTCAAATGAGACGTATTTGCTGGGTATATGATGAAACGAATCTAGAACATCATTCCGACTATACATATACACCTTCACTTAGTCATAATGAAATCATCAAGATGAGTGAATTGAACAGTTGTAATTAATGTCAGACGATATGCTATCTGAAATCAAACTTCTTGAATAACACAAACTTACAACGTAAATGAGGATTTCCGATTGTTGGAAACATTCCTGTGAATATACACACACGACCTGCATTAATTACATATATTTTAAAACTTTGTTATTTGGTAAAGCAATATCTGTCTACAACATTATGTTTGCAAATTTACCAGCATAAAATTGCCTTCTTTATTTAGTGATAAATACCTATACTACTTTGGAAATTACTTATCGGTTTCCCGTTTCATTTTATTTCCATCGCAAATATAACACATCAATTCAGTAATGATTGTTCAATAACCTAATGATTTGTTTGTTCATTTTTTTGCTATTGATCTTGTCAACAGCATCAAAATGTGGTTCATGTGAATGTGAGTCGATTTCATGTTGATATAACAAATAACGTTGAACAGAACGGAATCGACTACTTTATTTCACCTTCTGATAGTTATCTAGTTTTAGGAAGTATGGTATTACCGCTTGACGATTCCATTGATATACATATCATCATAGGTATCCCTAACTGTAACAATGATAGCAGTTGATATAATTAACATATTTGAATACTATCAGAAGGGGTGTTGTGGAGATTTTAGAAATCTCAGTAGTTAGAATCATGAGTCAATTGAAGCTAGATCACCATGGAAAACCTGGAAGCACTAGACGGCCGTTTTGTCCTAGTATGGGACTCCTCAGCAGTGCGCATCTACAATCCCACGCTCCGTGAGATTCAAACCCAGGACTTATCAGTCTCGTGCGCGAGCGCTTAAGATTCAGCTCACTGAAGACAATGGTGTACGGTGGCGCAATTTCGTAGATTGGTTGGAGTTAGACACTATCACCGTCGGATGCCGGCCGGCTCAGTGGCCTAATGTTCAACCGCTCGCGCGTGAGACTGATAGGTCCTGGGTTAGAAATTCGCGGGGGGGGGCGGGATCGTGGATGCGCACTGCTGAGGGATCCCATGCTAGGACGAAACGGCCTTCCAGTGCTTTCAGATTATCCATAGTGGTCTAGCTTTAATTGACTCATGATTTCAACTATTGAAATATATGAATACTGTTGTGCTTGTCTTCTTTTTTGGTTTTTATTTAATTCTCCATGATATAAAGTATTGAACTACATACATTCATGAACGACATTTATTTAAAATTAGAACAACACATATAAGCGAACAATTGTTTCCAATTAGATCATCATCAGGCTTTACTCTAATATACGGTAATATTTATACGAAAATGTTAAACCAATCAAGGCAATTTTGGATCAGTAATTACAATGAAATAGTTAACTATTGATAAGACTTTTGTTATCGTATTTTATTATTCCTACCTACTATCAGTACACCTGTCTTCCTACTATCAACTTGTCTTTTATCTATTATGTGTGATGACTTATTCTATTTCATTGTAATTACTGATCCAAAATTGCCTTGATTGGTTTAACATTTTCGTATAAATATTACTGTATATTAGAGTAAGGCCTGATGATGATCTAATTGAAAACAATTGTTCGCTTATATGTGTTGTTCTAATTTTCACAATCGGAATTTTCAATTTATTTAAAACTATGTTGAGTCCTTCATGTAACGAACAATACTAAATATCAGGAAAACGATGTGGACGAAAGTGAAAATACTAAACCACATGAACGTGAAAACTATTGAACAGTACACTACAAGCATACATAACAATAATAAATGTGTGATGAATAGGTTGTGACTTCAGTTTTATCATGTAATAGTTCCATCAATATCATATTAAAATAGACCAACAAAAATTCATTAGAAGTCAGTGGAGATGATTTTATTTAACATAATGAAGATTTGATTCGTGGATTTCGGTGATGTTTCACTCATCTTTAAATTCTCAAAGTCAATAGGATGCACATTTTCTATTTCCCATACACCATCAGCAGTCAAACAAATATTAGTCATTATGAAACAACGGAGTCCAAATACTGCAACAAATGTATTGATGAAAATGGTACAGAAAAATGCAGAAATGAGACATAGGAATGGCAGCTCTATTTATGGGCTCAATGGTTATGTTGGACTGAAATCTGCTAAGACTTGAGAGATTAGTATACATAGCAAAGCAAAAGTTTAAAAATTCCTACCAACACGTAAATTTATTTAAACTGAAAGCTGTGGAATCTAACTAACGGTAATATTAAAGCGTGATACTTTGTACTATCGTGGTCAAACCACAGATTTTTTTTCTGTGAACTTAAATAAACTAAGAATAATGAATTCATACATTCCTTGGTTGATTCTAATTCCTACATAGCTGGAAACAACATGCATTTGGAATGTTGGTATATATATCGCAAATTATTTTGTTTAGTAAATCTGTGCTTATAGTAAATACTTTAAATATCAGTACACTTTGGAAGTGAATTACATTTAACAGATAAAGTACACTATATTCACTACTTATAAACAGATTGGATAAACATAATTGAGCAAGACCTCAAATCAGTAAACAATAACAAGTACATCTAGTATGTAGTACATTCAAACCCATTATTAATTAGATGAAAATTATTGTGACATGATTCTGGTATCTACATTAAAATCTAACATATTTTTTTGTTTGGTTAATTTATACTTATTATTTGACATTTAAACATCAGTCTACTACTACTACTACTACTACTACTACTACTACTACTACTACTACTACTACTACTACTACTACTACTACTACTATTACTCAGTCAGTCAGCTGCAACGTAGGACCAGGCACGTATATGCATCGGTCCAAGTTGCCATACCGCATTAGCACAACAAGATGAACACCGGATTCATAGAAGTAGTTAATTCAGTGGTGGTAGTATATAGAAGAAAGAGTGCGTATAAGGAGATAGTACAGGAAGATGGAATTAGTTCGTAGAAAGAAAGATTTGAAGTGATTTTAATCTCTTAGTTTAAAGGAAGACAGAGAGTGTATACACCGACGCCATTGTGATCGATTCTGAGCCATGTCACCAAGAGTCTCCAACCATTGGTTACGATAGTCACGCGGACCCCAACCAGGTAGTCTGCATCTACCAACATGGCTCAGACCAGAAGTTAGTGACTTCAAGCACTGATGCCACGTTTTGGTTTGGCCGCCCCTAACTTTCTTCCAATCATTCCTAATACCGGTTAGCATTGCGCGCCGTGGTAATCGGTGTTCAGGCATACGCAGCACGTGGCCCAACCATCTCAGTCGATGAAGGTTCATAACCTCATCAACTGATTTACCCTCATTCCCTAATACCCTGTGTCTAACCTCACCATTACTTACCCGGTGATCCCAGCAGATACCCGCAATATTTTTAAGGCATCTGTGGTCAAATACTAGTAACTTACGAATATCTTCTACTCTTAAAGGCCATGTTTCGCAGCCGTATAGCAGAACGGAACGAACTGCCGCGCAGTATACTCGTCCCTCAATTGATAGACGGATATCTCGCCTTCGCCATAGATGACGTAAGTTGGCAAAGGCTAAACGAGCTTTTCGAATCCTTGCTGAGATTTCGTCAGACACCAACCAATTAAGGCTGATCAGACTTCCAAGATAAGTGAGGTTGTCAACGCGTTCGACTACTTCACCCCCTATCCTTAGTTCAGGTGTTGACGCAGACCAGTCCTGAAGCAACAACTTGCATTTGGAGGGAGAGAAGGGCATCCCAGACATTCTGGCATTGTTGCTCAGTGCTATCAAAAGACTCTGCATTTCATCAGCGTCTTCACCAAACAGGACTATGTCATCTGCGTATTCTAAGTCAATAAGTGGACCTCCTGGTAGGAGATCAATACCCGAGAAGTCAGTCGATGAGAGCGTTATTTCCATCAGTAGATCTATGATGAAGTTAAACAAAAATGGAGAAAGTGGACAGCCTTGGCGGACGCCACTTGAGGTTGCGAAAGCAGATGACAGTTCGCCATAAGCTCTGACTCGACTAGTAGTGTTCGAGTAAAGAGTCTTCACAAGGTTTATGTACTTCTGAGGTACGCCTTTCAATGACAGACACTGCCACAGAATCTTTCGGTCAACAGAGTCAAACGCTGCTTTTAAATCAAGGAATACCACTATTGTCGTACGCCGATAAGTATGTCTGTGTTCTAGAACCTGACGAATGGTGAATATGTGGTCGATGCAGCCACGACCAGGTCTGAAGCCAGCCTGATTTTCACGTGTTTGCAGCTCACAAGTCTTAGTTAGGCGTCCGAAAATTATCGAAGCTAGTATTTTAGATATTATATTAGTTAAACTAATCCCTCTGTGGTTGTCACAGGATGATTTTGACCCTTTCTTAAATATTGGGACGATAAGTGATTGTGACCAGTTAGATGGGATGACGTCTAACTCCCAGATTTTAGCTAAAATATTAGTCAACCTAATCGCTAAAACTAGACCACCATCCTTAAAGACCTCTGGGGCCAATCCATCTGAACCAGCTGCCCTTCCTCGTTTCAGATTAGCTATAGCCTTTTGAACTTCAGCTAGAGTTGGGGGACCTACTTCAATGTTCCATTCACACTGTCTGGGAATAGAGGGTAGTTGTAGAGTAGCTGAAGGCCAACTGAACTGCTCCATAAAATGTTCCGGCCATCGTTCTAAACGTCTGGACTGGGAGCAGATGATAGTGTCGTCTTTTTACGAAATAGTCTGACTTACACTTGATTTATTAATTCCAGTTTCTTTTATTAGTCTGTAGAGTTGTCTTGTGTTCCCTATGGCCGCCGCCTTTTCCATCTCTTTTGCTTTCGTTGCCCACCACTGCTTACGATCGTTCCTTAGACTTTTGCTTAACCTATATCTGATTTGTTTACGCTCTTCATCGTGTTCAGAACCTGATGGGATGAGTTTGCGAGAATCTATCAGTGCAATAGACCTTGACGAAATCCATTGGTTCTTTGTAACCCTGTGGTTTAACTCACTGGTAGATGTCAATGCTGTTTCCACAGCTGCTTGTATAACTTTCCAAGCAACATCTGGGTCAGTCTCGTTTTCAGAACTACCTAAGTGTGACCTCAGTTGTTCCTGGAACCTACTTTTGGTTTTCTCATTACTCAATTCGGTTCTAATGAGTCTTTTTTGTGTGAGAGGCTCAATCAGATGCGTGCTCGTATTAGAGCATGGTCGGAGTCCAAGCAGGTACTCTAGAATGAGCGACAATCTTCTACCGACCCTCTCCAACGATGACTGATGGCAATATGGTCTATTTGAGTCCATCGTTGGTTTGGTGCAGGGGGTCGCCATGTTAGACGATGTCTCTCCTTATGCTTAAAATTTGTGTTTGCTAAAAATAAACGATTGTCTGAGCAAAGTTGCAGCAGACGATCACCATTATCTGTTCTCTGTGCCGGAATACTAAAATACCCGCCTAAATGTCTTTCTGTTTCGTTTAAGCTACCTACCTGGGCATTAAAGTCGCCTGCTACGAGTACTATGTCTGGACGTTTAGCTTTCTGAAGAAGTTCAGACAGCTTTCTGTAAAATTCATCTTTCACTTCATCCGAACTGCAGTCAGTGGGAGCGTAGGCAGAAACGACGAAAAGGCAACGACGTGTGTCCCTATCCTTTCGAGTTCTTACGGAGCCGTTTAGCCGAACAGCGCATAGACGACTGTTAACGGGGATCCACTCTAATAGCGCTTGTTCCGCCCTCATGCTTAGTGCTATGCCTACACCTGCAAGTCCACGAGAACTAGCCATCGGGTCGCCAGATACACGGAGGGTGTATCTCGTCGGCACTCCGTTTTGCCGAGGTGAGGTCAAGTGGATGACCACGCTAGGATCCTGTATGCGTGTTTCGGAGACACAGCATACATCAATCGTACGAGATTATAAGGTTTTAGCCAAGGAAGCCTGCTGATCGATTTGGCATAGTGTGCGTACGTTGAAGGCTCCAATGTATAGTTTGGAGCGAGGTTTCAGTAGACCTGGGACAACGATTTGCGCGCTAGAATCGTTGGCTGTGGTGACACTTGAGGAGGAAGCTGAAAGAGGGAGTTTAGATTTGAAAGTGGATGTAAGAGGAATAATAGGAATTGAAGAGGGAGGTTGATTATGAATACAGTGGTCTTGAGTGCTGTTAGAGGTATGAGGGCGGTTATCACTTCCCGGTTGCCCACACCGTGGAAGGGTTCTGCTGGAGGTGCCTGAAAAGGAAATTGGATTAAAGGTGGTCATAGTGACCTGAGAGCGTGACCGCAGTGCCCAAGGGACAGCTGCTTGAGGTCGGTCACACACGACCTTTTTATGAGTAATTTTTGTGTTAGCTCCGTACTTGTTGAAACCTTACCGCCGGAGACGGATATCCATGGGATAAGGCGAGGTGTGCATTTTTAGGGTCGACCTTTTCTAACCCCTCCCCTCCTTTTGGGAAGGCAGCATTGCTGTTATGCTGGTTGTCTGAAGGAAACAACTTACTGCTCTCACACCTCTGTACAGTCAGCAGTACGACTTCGCCTTCGGACCTTGGTTTTGTTGCTTTTAGTCTTACCGCTCTTCAACCGACCAGTTTGGCATGGTAGGACCTTGAGGAACGTTTGTTCCAGCCAGTATAGCTCAGTTGCTTCGTCACGATAGGCAAGCCCGACCACCACGTCAAGGTAGCAACCACGGTCAGGACTACTACTACTACTACTACTACTACTACTACTACTACTACTACTACTACTACTACTACTACTACTACTACTACTACTACTACTACTACTACTACTACTACTACTACTACTACTACTACTACTACTACTACTACTACTACTACTACTACTACTACTACTACTACTACTACTACTACTACTACTACTACTACTACTACTACTACTACTACTACTACTACTACTACTACTACTACTACTACTACTACTACTACTACTACTACTACTACTACTACTACTACTACTACTACTACTACTACTACTACTACTACTACTACTACTACTACTACTACTACTACTACTACTACTACTACTACTACTACTACTACTACTACTACTACTACTACTACTACTACTACTACTACTACTACTACTACTACTACTACTACTACTACTACTACTACTACTACTACTACTACTACTACTACTACTACTACTACTACTACTACTACTACTACTACTACTACTACTACTACTACTACTACTACTACTACTACTACTACTACTACTACTACTATTACAACTACTACTACTGCACACTGCAAACATCAGAACTTCTTTCAAACTTCCCAGGTATATATTTTGATATTAATTCAATGAGTGAAAAACATTATGACGCTTCTGGCACCCAAAAAGCGACTTTGTATTACGTTGCCATTCAGAGGCGACACAAATAGTCTCATGTTTAAACAGGGACTTCATTTAGCTATCAAGCGGATATTTTATGCACCCCAACTTGTCATTATTGAAAAGACAAGGTCTATGATTCATCAAAAGCCCAAACAGCAAGAAAGCGATTGTGTCACATCCTATTGTGTCTATCAATTTACATGTATGTGTGGAAACACGTACATAGGGAGGAGCAATCGTGATTTGCAATGAAGGGTTGGTGAACACATACCAAAATGGTTGCAGAAACAAATGGATTCCAATGGTCAAATAAGATCACAGAATATACAGACATCATCCTCCATTGAGAAACATTTGATTGAGACGGATTACAAGGTTGACATCAAGTCATCATTTGTAGTGTTGTACAAAAGCATTCAGGGACGTATACTAAAGTTTATTGAAGCCTTGGCTATACGGAAATTGAATCCCCCTTTATGTGTTTAAAAACAATTTGTTGTTACACGATTATCTGTTAAATAAATTTGGTGCTGATCAGTGGCTTTACAATTTAAAGTATTAAAATAAACCAATCACGACGGACTGAGAGGTAGAGATTAAAATTAGCGAATCACTATCACATCATGATAGTATAAAATGAAATGAAGTAATGAATATTCTTAAAAGAAAAATGTACTGTATAGTATTATTCTGTTTTATCTTCGTTGTCGAACATTTCCAAGCTGCGGCGGGAAGTCGTAAGTTAGAAAAAAAGTTTATTTTCAAAATGTATACCGTCTAATTCATGTTTAAAATAGTGTTTGAACAATCAAGTTAAGTACTAATATTCAATGCATTCTTATAAAACCATTTTCACCATAATAGTAAGGATGTGTATTTAGAGTGTTTCTTGTCGTTTAAAATTGACAAAATCTTTTTTCAAATAAAAGTAATTTAAGTATGATAAACATAGTTTTTTTCCATTACTTACTGTTGTTTTCCCTTATGGAGAAGCATAGGTCTAACCCACCAGCATTCTTGATCCAACTTTGTCTAAATCAATCTTTTCCACTTCTTTTCAATTGCTATCCATCTTTTTCATGTTTGCTTTCAATTTCCTACAAACTGTGTTCTTTGGCTTTCCTTTTTTCTGTTTCCCTTCAGGATTCCAAGTTAGGGCTTGCTTAGTGATGAAGTCTGGTGATTTCCATGATGTCTGTTCTATCCATTACTAACGTCTTTTCTTAATTTCCTCTTCAGCTCTAAGCTAATTTAGTCTCTCTCACAGTAGGCTGTTATTGATGGAATCCGATCAACAGATATTGAGTATCTTATGCAGACATTTGTTTACAAATACTTGTACATTTATGACGATAGATATGGTAGTTCTCCATATTTTAGCTCCGTACAGTAGAACTGTCTTGAAGATTGTGACTTTGATATGAGTTGACAGGTGTTCTGAATTGTATAAGTTTTTAAGCTTGGTTATTACTGACAAGTTCAAAATCATGATTTAGTTTGAATAAATTTGGAGCATTCTCTGCTGGTATAATTCTGGTCATGGGATAATCAATACAAACAGCTAACTTCATGAATTGTATGGACTTGTTTATTGGAACCATTAGGTATCCATTATTCACAAGTAGATTTTCGTCAACGTAATATACTTCCTACTTTCCAAAGATTTTGTTTGTGTATGAGTACTACATACAAGCACCCAACTGAGTCACAAGGCAAGCCTTCACATGGAATCCTCAAGGCCAAAGGAAACTAGGAAGACCAATGAACACATTACACTGAGAAATGAAGACAGACATGAGAAAAATGAACAAAAATAGGATAGAACTGGAAAGGAGGGCCCAGGACAGAGTGGGTTGGAGAATGCTTGTCGGCGGCCTATGCTTCATTAGGAATAACAGGCGTAAGTTAGTAAGTACGTAACTACAAGCGATCTCGTGAGTAGTGTTCATCGCAGTAGTATAAGTGAACAAGGTAATATGCCATGATTCACAACTATGATAAGATAGTGTATCCTTACGTGATATTGAACGACACGATAATCACTGCATATCAAATGAACTAAAGAAAAAAGATAACAAAATGACGAAAATATTTATAAAATCGAAGACGTGTATCAATGAAAAAATCTCGTCATTGTCATTTTGAATAGCACATGTTGTTCATTATACAATGACACTTCCATAGTGCTCGTTAAATCAGACATTGATTAAAAAGTTCATACATACTTCAGAAACCTGAGGTCAAATGAAAATAAATATATGCCAATTTCATCTCAGCAAAAATTTTTAATACGGTCACATTTACACAAAGCACTCCGTGGTTTTGAAAAATTGTATGATGAACAATCATCAGATCTCAGTATATGTTTCAGTTAACTACAAATACCCAACGAATCTGAGTATATTCATCTTGTCGATTTAGACATAGTCAGTCAGTCAGTCAGTGAGAACGTAGAACTTCGTACGTACATCCGTTCGAGTTGCCATACCATATTAGCACAGAGATGCAGTTATCGGTTCAAATCACATAGTGGTAGAGGTAGTAAGAGCATAAGCAGTAATCCAAAAGATCAGTGTCTGAAGATGTTATTCAAGAAGTAATACAACCACCTACGGATTCTGTTGAGTACGAAGCACATACGAATGTCTCATTCAAGTGGTTTAGAGAAAAAGCGAGCATAAATGCATCACATACATTGTTACTGAAAAGTCGAAATGCAAAATGTTTCTCATTATACAGTAACACATATTGATGACATGAACGTATATCAATTACGAAATGTTCATGCTAACCAATATGATTTACATCTCAATCTTAATTAATCACATGTGTTATACTTTTTCACATTTCATTACCAGACTGTAAGTTGGATTTTGTAATATTCAATTTATTCATTTCACTTTTACTGAACATATTCTGAATTTGTGCATAATCTGTCAATTTGATCAGTCTTAGCTAACGCATTCTCATGAGAAGAGCTTACCCACACAAATGGAAATGTGCATTTTCTAAATTCTTCATTAATCAAACATGGTATAATATAGTCAGAAAAGTACCATAGAATACCATAGAATAAGTACCATAAGTACTATAGAATAAGAGTCTCAGCGAGTACATCTTGATGCTTTCTAGCTAATTGATAATGTGTATTCACAATAATTGTCACTCAATTTTAATGTGTAGAACTAAACTATATCGATTATCTTCAATCGAATAGAGTCGATTATTTAGCAAGACCATGTGGATAACTGGAGTACGATGTAGTTTCTAAATGTGTTTATGAACATCCAGTTAATGCGAAACAAAAATTTTTGTAATCTAGCTAGTTTACATAATTATCTGTTCATCCATTACTTACCGAACGTTAAATTATTGAAGATTAGCATTCTTATTAGGTATAGGCAATATATGACTTATGGAGAATGTCACGACTCTAGAGATAAGATCATTTTACTTAGTATTATATTTCAGATGAAACCAGCTATTAGACATAACGCTCTAATAGATAGACCATGTTAAAATCTTGTATGCCTTGCGTTTTGTCTTTTTTTTTGTAATATGTAAGTTGTTTTTTACACGACCTAAATTTTTATTTAAGAGTTAAATTATTAAGGTAGTGATGTTTTATCTTGATTGGTAAAGTTAAACTTAAAGATTCTTAAGTTCTAAAATTTTATCTCATCTATATTTGTATCATTTAATACAGTGTACTATTTACAATGCAACTGAATTCTGACCAGTTTACATCTATGTGATCAGTTTCAAAATCACTCAAAATATTTCTCTGAACAAAAACTATAGCTTTCTACTAATGTAATCTTATTCTTTAATAAATCACTATCATCTACTAACCATAATGATAACAAAAACTCAACAAGAATTAATTGAAAATATGCTTTACCTATTTATTCGATTTTCATATTCTATTGATCCTTTTCCCTATAAGCTGCTATACATGGTAAGCCATTTAATATAAGTTTAACTATTTATTGTATTAAATTTTCATTCCGAAAAACAATATTGGAAACATGAAGTTTATATCAATTTAGGTGTTGTGGAGATTGTCAAGTTTTTGATTGAGATCATGAACCGATTGATGTTAGACCACCATAGGACGAAAAGGCCGTCCAGTACTTCCAAGTTTTCAATGGTGGTCTAACATCAATCAGTTCATGATCTCAATCAAAATAAAGTTTATAATTATAATATGCTGGATTCACATGGAACTGATTTTATCAAAAGACTTATTTAATCGATAAAAAGCATACAAATATGTATCAACACAACTATCCTTGAGACATTGACAGTAAATATACATAACATTATTGTAATTACTTGTGAATGATACTATTATAAGCCCATTCAACTATTGTATTATTTATCTGCTCACTGTAATTTAGACACTTTATCCACCATGTAATTTTCTGTATGAGTCTGATTGAGCACATGTCTTCAACATCAATCTGTAAACTATTCTCCCATTGGTTGAAATATACAGACAATCTATAATTTGTCCATAATTGATTAACACTCAAAAATATATATGGATTTTTAGCACTCACACACACACACACTCTTCGTTTCCTTGTGGGCTTGCTTCCTGTACGCCCGCGGATTTTACCAATCTTTAAAAATCAACTATCTCTATAACTGGTGTTCAGGCTTTTGAATAATCTCGAGTAAAATCCATAATTCTACTAGGAGATTTAGCCTACATTAAATACTCAGTTAACGGGATACTATTTATTGGAGTCAGATATAGGGGAAATTAGCCTCTAGAATACAGTTTAAACAAGTATCGTAATAGATAATATATACTACTTATATCCGTCGACATCAGTAGCATACACCATAGTAGCGAATCAATATGAAAGAATAATTTGCATATAAAAAAATAAGAAGAATATAAACCTATGTACGTAGTTAATGTGTATTTCATGCCTTTATTGTTTTGTATTAAACATATATTCTTTTTTTATAATTTTTTTTACAAGTACTATTCGATAGGTGTAAGTGATAGAATATTTTCTTTATAAAATACACTACGTTGATCTTGTTTTCATTAATGTTTGATTCATTAAACTAATCATTCTTAAGAAGAGATTTGATCAAGACTTTTCAACAACAACAAAAAAAAGATAAAATAAATTGATGAATTCTGATTCTAGGAGTACAACTGTAAAATTGAATAATCGATAGGAGTATTGTTTTTTTACATGAATTCTATGATGATTAGTGTTGTTGAAACGGTTATATGTTTGTATATAGCTTACTTCTATTTGGATGAAGAAATACACAAAAAAAATCCAATCAGTGACATAGAAGTTAAATCATTGAAGATTAATTATACTAGTTGGTACATTTTACATCAAAATAATAAATCAATTCTCATTTTTAAATAGAAATTTACATTCAACACTCATATGAAGTGAAAACCATTATCCAACTAATGTTTTACTTTTTGTTTTGTTCACTTAAATAGTCTTGTGAATTTTATCGTTATAGAATTTTTCATTCATTTGTGAGGGTTTATGTCATCCCATTGTTGACTTTAATGACTCCAATTGATCAGTTTCTTTTTGAATACGTACATCCAGAAAGGATAGACATGGTATTGACGTTGGCGGAAGAGCATTTTAATCAATATTAAGAGAGTCCCTAGCATACAAACTGATAAGATTTCATCTTTATTGAACAAATCAGTGGTTACAACACTCAGTGTTTCAAGCGAACGTGAACAGGTTGACGTTTAGATGTAAATATAAACATGGCTGCAAGTGCAGTCAGTTAATCAAACTAACAGAATCTTGGTATGCACTACTAGTCACTAAAAACAACACTTAATAATTGTTAAATAGGTTTTTTGATATAATTCTGGATTGTAGTTAGTAGTAGAATATCAACTGTGTGTCAATTTAATAACTAGCGAATATCTTTCCGACTGAGGAATCAATTGAATATCATTTAGTTTCAATAGATTATTGGATAAAGTGCTGAAAAGAAATTCATACAAACTAGATTTCATTCGCAGTGTAAACACCAAAATGATAATGCAAGCTAAGGAATACAACAGCCACTAAACAATTTAAAACTCCTATCTCGATTCAAATGGTTTACAAAACTATGTATTCTAGACAATGACAAACGATCCGTAAATGACCCTATGCTTCAGTGATGATCAGTTAAATGTACTTCAGAATAACGACAACACATTGATATAAATCTGTATTATATTGTAGACGTATTTTGATATAATCACTCTGTCATTGTCGTTTTCAAATAACATGTTTCTGACTATATCATAAAACCATTCCGTAATGATTGATATCGACAGGATGGACGATAAAAGCTGGAACACAGATAGAACAGGTGAAGAAACGCGGTCAACGCCTTATGATTAGTATTAGAATGATAATTTATTCAATCAACATCAACTCTCACAATACTTTCAAACCTGTTATTATTATTATTGTCAGAAAATAATAAAGATATTCAATTTTCTTTCAATTTTTGTGGGCATCCGCTTAGTTTATTAGTAATTATTATTATTGTGAATACAATGCGGATTCAAGAACTTTCAAATTTCCGGTGAAATAAATGCCCATTAGGCATAATTGTTACTTATCAGTTGTGATATTATTTAAAGTTATTTTGTAAATTATCCCTTAGAATAAACCAATGATTATAGGCAACAATATAGTTATAAAGGTTAGTGGCTAACCGTCACCTATTTAGGGTACAAATATATATATATATATATATATATATATATATATATATATATATATATATATATATATATCAATTAGAAAGATTCTTGCTAAGAAATATAACTAATGTCTCAATAACAATCAACCATAATTGTTTAAACTACTTTCAAAGTGAAACATACTCCTAGATACACTGTTTTTATATTTTCGATTATAAATATACTTTTCATAGTATTGAGAGATGAACGTAAGTTATTAAACAATATTCATTTAATAGATCGTATTTGTAATAGTATTTAGACTATCAAATTCATCACTGTATTTCATATATAGGCTTATGAAACTTATATGATCATCGTAATAAGGGCATGTATTTACTTCCGTTATTGTGATTTAAAGCTGACTACATAAATTGGAAAAAAATTTTACTCTATCCAAGACGATGTTACTAATGAATTTTTAGATTTTTATTTAAACATTTAAAAACCTAAGACAGCTTGAATTGTTTTAAATACGATTATAAAGTATTAGTAAATAAATAATTAATGGGAACATTTGGTTACATGAAATGTATAAATTTCTACACTAAACAGATTAATTTTATTAGTTGAGATTATGAGTCAATTGAAGCTAGATTACCATGGGAAACCTAGAAGCACCGTGTTACCAAGTTTTTCATGGTGATCTAGTTTCAATTGATTCATGATCTCAACTATTGAAGTTACTATAATATACACAAAAATCCCCTTCTGATATTAAACAGAATAAGTTTAGTTATCAATACTAAAATTGAACTTGATAGCTTCAAATAAATTAAGCATTAGATAGAGAGTTAATAGTAAATATATTTTTGTTATATCCCAATAAGTAGAAAAATTGTATTTCCAATGTTTCGTAACTCAGTGTAAACCACTTCTTCAAAGTAAATAAACAACCGAAATTAAATGACTCTTGATAATTCGATTTTTGAAATTTTATTAGTTGAAATCATGAATCAATTGAAGCTAGACTACCATGAAAAACCTGGAAGCACTGGACGGCCGTTTCGTCCTAGTAAAGGACTCCTGCGAGACTCTAATTTAGGGACGAACCAATCAGAAGCGTTTGAGCCGTTTCAAGGTCACGGAGCCAAGTTTAACACCTGATGCTCACATATAATCGGTTTACAGCGGATTTTAGAGAAGCGGTGATTATTGAAGGGCTACAAGGGATAGGATTACTAAAAAGTTCTTGTACGTGAGACTGCGGTTATCAAATGACTGCAGTAAAGTGTGCAAATAACCGTGGTGAGATTATATTTAGTTGTCCTTCATGTTGGAGGAGAAAGTCTGCTAGAACGGGGACTTTCTTTGCTCGATTGCTACTGAAACTCAATCAGATTATGATAATAGTTGCAAATTGGGTAATAAATACACCAGTAACACTGGCTGCGGCGTTTGCAGTTGTTTATGAAAATTCAGCAGTCCAGTGGTATGAGTACTGCCGTGCAACTAAAATAACACTTGTACACCAATCATTCGGAGGAGTAGGATGTATCGTGCAGACAGATAAAACGGCAGTGAGAAAGTGAAAATACAACAGGGGACGTAGTATAAAGTAGGATTGTGTAAGTAGCATTTCCGTATGCAATATGATTTCAAAACATCCGAAACTTTAGCAAACATTGATAAGTTTTTAAATCATGTAAAAGAAGTATATTCACTGTAATCCATTAGTATCTTCTAATATTACTTACTTACTTACGCCTGTTACTCCTCGTGAAGGAGCATAGGCCGCTCACCAGCATTCTCCATCCAACCCTGTCCTGGGCAATCCTTTCAAGCTCTTTCCAGTTCTTATTCATCTTTTTCATATCTGCTTCTATTTCCCGACGTAATGTGTTCTTTGGCCTTCCTCTTTTCCGCTTCCCTTCAGGATTCCAAGTTAGCGCTTGTCTCGTAATGCAGTTTGATGATTTCCTCAATGTATGTCCTATCCATTTCCATCGTCTTTTCCTAATTTCCTCTTCAGCTGGAAGCTGGTTGGTTATCTCCCACAAAAGGCTGTTGCTGATGGTATCCGGCCAATGGATGTTGAGTATCATGCGTAGACAGCTATTGATAAATACCTGTACCTTCTTGATGGTGGTTGTTGTAGTTCTCCAAGTTTCAGCTCCGTACAGTAGAACTGCCTTGACGTTCGTATTAAAGATTCTGACTTTGATATTGGTTGAAAGTTGTTTTGAGTTCCATATGTTCTTCAGTTGAAGGAATGCCGCTCTAGCTTTGCCAATCCTCGCCTTGACGTCTGCATCTGAACCTCCTTGTTTATCGACGATGCTTCCCAGGTATGTGAAGGATTCCACGTCTTCCAGAGTTTCGCCATCAAGAGTGATTGGATTGCTGTTCTCCGTGTTGTGTTTGAGGACCTTGGTTTTCCCTTTGTGTATGTTGAGGCCTACTGATGCAGAGACTGCTGCTATGCTGGCTGTCTTTATCTGCATTTGTTCGTGTGTATGTGATAGGAGGGCTAGGTCATCTGCGAAGTCCAAGTCGTCTAATTGGTGCTGAGCTGTCCATCGTATGCCGTAGTTTCTCTCAGATGTCGAGGTCTTCATAATCCAGTCGACCACCAGAAGAAACAGGAAGGGAGAGAGTAGACAGCCTTGTCTTACTCCGGTCCTTACTTGGAATGCGTCTGTCAGCTGTCCTCCATGCACTACTTTGCACTGTAGTCCGTCGTATGAGTTCCGGATAATGTTGACAATCTTCTCAGGAACTCCGTAGTGTCGAAGAAGTTTCCATAACGTCCTCCTATCTACACTGTCAAATGCCTTCTCATAATCAATGAAGTTGATGTAGAGTGACGAGTTCCACTCAATTGACTGTTCGACGATGATCCGTAGTGTCGCAATCTGGTCTGTGCACGACCGGTCCTTACGGAATCCAGCTTGTTGATCTCGAAGTTGAGCGTCAACTGCGTCTTTCATCCTGTTCAGTAACACTCTGTTGAAGACTTTACCTGGTATTGACAGTAGTGTAATGCCTCTGTAGTTTTCACACTTGCTCAGATCTCCTTTCTTGGGAATCTTGATGAGGTGTCCTTCTTTCCAATCCATCGGCACTTGTTCCTCCTCCCAAATCTTCTTGAATAGAAGATGAAGAATGCTTGTAGTTACTTCGATGTCTGACTTCAACGCTTCAGCTGGTATATTGTCAGGTCCTGCTGCTTTCCCGCTCTTGATTTGTCTGACGGCCATTCTGATTTCTTCTGTCGTTGGTGGATTGACATTTATAGGAAGATCTGTGTGTGCTGCTTCGATGTCCGGTGGATTCATTGGAGCCGGTCTGTTCAGGAGTTCCTCGAAGTACTCTGCCCATCTGTTGCGCTGTTGTTGAATCTCAGTGATTGGTCTTCCTTCTTTGTCTTTGACTGGTCTCTCTGGTTTACTGTATTTCCCTGCAAGCTTCTTCGTCGTATCGTAAAGCTGTCTCATATTTCCTTCTCTTGCAGCTTTCTCCGCCGTCGTTGCTAGTTCTTCCACGTATTTTTGCTTATCAGCTCTAATGCTCTTCTTCACTTTCTTGTTTGCTTCTATGTACTCTACTTGTGCTTGGACTTTCTCTGCTCTTGTTCGACTGTTGTTAATTGCTGTCTTCTTGTTCTTTCTTTCTTTGATCCTGTCCAGTGTTTCTGTAGAGATCCATTCCTTGTGATGATGCTTCTTGGGGCCCAGAACCTCTTCACACGTTGAAGTTAATGTTTCTTTGATACCTTTCCAGCTATCCTCCATAGTAGTTTTTTCTTCCTTCAGTAGATCCTGTAAGGCTTGGAACCTGTTGTTGAGAGCTACCTTGAATTCATTGAGTTTGTCAGTATCTCGAAGGAAGGCTGTATTGAACCTTTGTGGTGCTGTTTGTCCAGTTGTCCAGTTCTTCTTTAGCTTCAGTTTCAATTTGGCCACAACTAGGTGATGATCTGAAGCTATGTCCGCTCCTCTCCTGGTTTTCACATCTTCCATTGTCCTTCGGAACTTTTTATTGATGCAAATGTGATCTATCTGGTTCTCTGTGGTGTGGTCCGGTGAGATCCACGTAGCTTTGTGTATACGTTTGTGTGGAAATGTTGTACCGCCTATGACCAATTTATTGAATGCACACAGATTTGCAAATCTTTCCCCGTTTTCGTTTCTCTCTCCCAGTCCATGCAGTCCCATGATGTCTTCATATCCGGTGTTGTCCATTCCGACTTTGGCGCTTAGATCTCCCATCAGAATGGTGAGGTCCTTTCTTGGGCACTTCTCTATGATTGATTGCAGCCTCTCATAGAATTGATCTTTAACGTCGTCGTTGCTATCATTGGTGGGTGCATAACATTGGATAATGTTCATTGTGATACCCTCCTTCTTTGTTTTGAATGATGCTTTGATGATTCTGGATCCGTGAGATTCCCATCCTACAAGTGCATTTCGTGCTACTTTGGATAGCATTAGAGCAACTCCCTGAGTGTGTGGAGCATTTTCCTCTTCGTGACCGGAGTTAAGCAGCATCTCTCCCGTATTTAGCCTTTGTTGTCCAGCTTGGGTCCAATGGGTTTCACTGATTCCCAGTACTGCCAAGTTGTATCTCCTCATTTCCGTTGCTATTTGACTGGTCTTTCCGGTCTCCCACATTGTCCGGACGTTCCATGTACCTATAAAAATTGTTGCTCTGGTTGTTAGAAGGGGCATCGGCCTCGTGGCTTCCGAAGGAACTCGGCTTTCACCATGAAGCGTCATATTACCTCTAACTCCCAGGGCAGAGTTTAAATGGTTTGAGTTATTTTTTCTGGTTAGCGTTTTTTTAGCGAGTTAGGTTTCTACGGGATGGGGACGCTAACCCCATGCCCAACCCTCCTCCTTTACCCGGGCTTGGGACCGGCAGTAACTCTGGAAGAGTTACAGGCGGAGTTATCTTCTAATATATTTCTACGTTATACTAGGTGTCTTCTGATTGGCTATTATTCTCAAGGTCACTCAAAATTCGTTCAAAGGTCGTCCCTAAATTAGAGTCTCGCCTAGGACTCCTCAGCAGTGCGCATCCACGGTCTGTTTACCCACTGAGAATTACAGTTAACACCAGAATAGACATTATTTAGAAGACGATTTAAAATAACACTACCTATCTTAATTGTTAATTCATTTAAATTATTTTTGCTAATTGATATTTTGAACTATTTTTCAAGCCATACCTCAACCTGGTAAGTCATCAAATCATATCTCGATCATATAAATACCACTTATCTCGTAATTTATGTATAGTTTGAACAGTCCTATCAAGCATTGATAGTTGGTGTTTATTATTAAATATGACATAATCTTTGTGGAAAGATTGTTCTTTTACAAAATACTATGCTATTTATCAATAAAGCTTCAAGTTTACCTATAGGGATTGTTATAACATGTGGTCTGTGTGCCCTGTTGATTTATAACGTGATAATACCGCCAATTAGAGAACAGTGAATTATAGATTGGATCAATGACGCATAAAACATGTACGAGCAGTCTAGATTACTTATTGGTCCTGCTTCCTGCCTAGCCCAGCCAGTTATGTCCAGAACACCAATCTCAGCCTCTGCAATATGAATCATTTATTTCAAACACACGGGGTTTATATACCAACCAGACAGACAACATCATACCATAAAACAGGAAACAACATTTGTACAAGAATTGGCTAAATGTGGCTGTGAATGTTCGAGGTAGTAATTAATAGACAGGACATAATTCAAGAATGGTAAATCGTATAATAATAGTTCATAAGTCAAAATAAAGCTCATAATATGTATAGTTTAGGTATTTAACAATTATACCATATAAATAGACACATAGTATTGGACGATAAATGGATCCCAAAAGTTATCATTCATTATTCTTATCAGGATAAAACAGGGATAATACATCAACTATGTCATAATCATTCTCTTTCAGATAGATATTTCAAAATTTTAACCATTTTAAATAATTGGTTACCAATATTTAATTGATTAATTAGTATTTCTCATATTAGCGTCAACAATTTACTGAACTAAAACAAGTAACCACTTTCCACTCCCAAATGAACGATCAATAATATTAAAATAGATCAATTGTTACAAAAATTGTTTGGTTCAATTAAACATTTCAAATTCCAATTGATAACTTTAATGTGATAAGTGTTTCGAAAATAAGTAATGAATAAGACATTGTTACCTAAATACTTCAACAGGAATATGTATAATTCTGTTTCTTTTCATTAAACTTAGTTGTTTGGGATGAAGTGGGAAAACTAAGTATGTTTTCATTTGTAAAACTCTAGAATGCAAAGCTTATATATATATATATATATATCGATTTGTGAAATACGTGTTTATTTGAATAACGTTCATTTATAACTTTGCATACATCATTTGAAATTCATTCAATAGTATTTGCCTCAAAACCATCCTAGTTGAGGATATAAGTGGGACATCGACAACTATTGATCATATTAGTTGTTAAATAATAATATTTTACAAAATGTGATTATTCTGCTCATTTCTATGATTTATGATATAAGTCTATGAGCGTGCATAACTAATATATAAATAATGTAATTTTAATAGTTAAGATCATGAGTCAATTAAAGCTAGATCACCATGGATAACCTGGAAGCACCGGACGACTGTTTCGTCCTATTGTGGGACTTCTCAGCTGTGTGCATCCACAATCCTGCTTCGCGAGATTCGAACTCAGAACCTATAAATAATGAATAATATCATTGTGTTCTACAAATAATATTGATGTACAAGAAGATGATATTATTAGTCATTATTAAAATTGTCAAATTGTAATGTGAGTTTAAAAAAATTAAAATTTTCAATAGAATATTCTTTGTCCAATTTACAGATGATGTAGAAAGAGGAATAACTGATTTCAGAGAAAATGAAAAGATACTAAAGAGCATGATAAGTAAGTGAAATATTAACTAATTTCTGTACGTAAATACATAACTTAGTAAACCTACATCTCTCAAACACACTTTCATGCATAACACAACTTAATAACACGTAAAAAACGAAGTTAAAAGACAAAGCAACTAGCTATGATAACGAATTATTCATTGCATTTTATATACTTAGTTGTTTTGAATAATGTTCAACTGAAATTCGTTTTCCAACAACCAACCTAAAGAATTTCGAACAGAGTTCCCTATTTGTCTCATAGTATTTCTACCGCTAAATTGAAGAGTTGAACCGTTTGAAATATATATATATATATCCTCATCAAGATTCTAACCATGTAATTACACGAATAACAGTAGAGTTAGTGCAATCGAGTGATGCTATCAGTTATATATACAAGATTCATGGATTCTCACTGTTATTTTATTCTGGTATTTAGTGGTATACATCACACAAACTTAACCCTTATGTCTATTAATACTTTTCTAAATGATGAATAGTAATTCAGTAAAGTGAATGATAAATATCGTATTTCATAGTTTACATCACAGAGTAATCATAGTGAGACAATCGGTGAAAACCTACATGCACTGAACAATTGTTTCGTGATAGCATAAAACTCCTCAGTAGTGTACAAACATTACCAGTCAAGAGGATAAAAACATGATTTGGATACTCTTTTCTCAAAAGTCTAAGTGTTTTCCAGTTTGTAATGATGTAAAGAACGAACTGTACTAATCTCTCATATTTGTCTGAATAATTTTTAAAAAAAAAACTGGATATATTTTATCGTTTAAATGTTATGTTTGTTTCTTTCAGATAGCATTACTAAGAACCAACAGAAAAAACGTAAAGCGATCAGAAACTGTATGTTTACAATAAAGATAATTGTATACACAAATCTTATGGTTGATTTTAGATATCAAGTGTAAAAGTAAACAACAACAACAAGAATCCTACAATTTATTTCTCAAAGGTTTGAATAGTTATTACAAATAAACTTTTGTTTAAATACAAATCTTTTTGACTTATCATTTACATGCATACATCATTACATTGATTTGTTTCAGTCATTTTGATCTTTCATAAATCAAATAAGATCATAAATCATTTTACAAGTTTATTGTAATTATTTTCTAAAAGTTACACAAAACGATGAAACGATAATTGGCGTGATAACATTTCCTGATCTGTGTTAAAAAAAACCATGAACATTTCAGATCATTTAAATAAAACGTGTTCAAATGAATTAGAATAGTATTAAATTATGTATACCATGTTTCAAACTATCCAAATTCAGCAGACAATCTCACTTATATTATCACTATCGAGATGTAATCACATAATTTGAAATGAATCGAGTTGTAAACTTAAATAACATGACCATTTTCTGGTCACCATTATTTATGTATTTTCAATCATCTTTTTGTTTAAAAATGGCTCTAACTAAATGAGGCTACTGATTCGTTGAAAAGTTTGTTTTAAATTTTCTCAAGATTTATAAAATGTTAAATCTTTCTACTTATCAGAATATGACGAATAAGCAATCTATTTCATTTCGAAATATTTCATTAATAGTGAAATTCGACTGTCAACACAAGAGTTTCATTATGGTTACAAACTAGAACACTTTTATCATATAATCTTTAAAGATAACTAAAATTATTTAGTGCAATTGATCAGTCTCTTGTTGGTATATGTGCATACTGTTTGGACTGCTTCGATATAACCTGAAGTCAAAAGCTTTATAAGCAAAGATGGATAATGGATAGAAGTGGAATCCAAGACGCGTTAGATGGATGTTCACTCTGGGACTCCAATCCAGTACCGTTTGCTTCAAACGCCATCGTGTTATCCACTTAGCTACTGAATCCTGATAACCACCTGATTGTACAATAGGGTGACGAAACAGGCGTCCTGGATTCCATTGCTAACCATTATCTATCTTTACTTATAACTAAAATTAGAATTCATTATTCCTATTGTTAGATGTCATGTGAATGAAAATCTGTTTATCTTCATTTAAATCTTTTAGAAATGAATAAACAGTTTAAAAATGAAAATCTAAAGTCATGTATGATTTTGTCTTTGTTTTTCTTTTTTAAATAATTGTCCCTTATAATATTGAATGTAGATTCACTATCGATGGTGCTTATGATTTTGAAAATTTATATTTACAATATTTGCTTTCGTGTAGTGTTCTTTGAAGATGTTTTCATAAATGTAATATATATATAACTTTTGAAAACAAAAGCAGTCACTTATTTTCAATACAGTGAACTATATGAATTGAAGTAGTAGTGTGATAATTAGGAGTATTTAGATTATAGTACGAACTAAGAATCCCAGAAATAACGCAATTGGATCAAGAAGTACTAGATAAACACTAACGAAGTTGAAGTTAGACGTTAACACCGTTGGATGCTGGCTCAGTGATCTAGTTGGTTAAGCGCCTAGCGCAAGACTGATAGGTCCTGGGTTCGAATCACACGGGGAGCGGGATCGTGGATGCGCACTGCTGGGGAGTCCTATACTAGGACGAAATGGCCGTCCAGTGCTTCCAGGTTTTCCATGGTGGTCTAGCTTCAATTGACTCATGATTTCAACCAGTGAAATTACTAACGAATTTACTGTATTTGGAATTCAAAGTTAAGCATTCAACAAGTATAAAGGAATCATTAATTCATTCAAATACCACAAATAGATTTGACATTTGGTTGTTATAATAATCTGTTTCTTACTATAATTTTGAAGTGAATTTTGTCTACTTTTCTTGTGTATCATTGATATAACAGTTCCTGATTATTCAACTCTGAAGGATTGCTTCATAAAACAAGAAAATGTTTTAGAAAGTCAGTGAAAATATTCTTAAATGTGTAGCTACATTAATCATATGTACATTAGTCATTTAATTACTATATGAAAATTGGTACTCCTGCTTTACATATAAGCGACTTTTCACTGAATTAAAACATCGGAATAGTCTATAAGGCTTATAGATGGTCATTACTCATTCGTGAGTTGAATAAATATAAATGACGAGGTTTCACTGTAAATATCTTAGTAATGAATGAATTGTAGATAGGCACTCCTATACCTATAACTAAACGACAAATAGTGTTCATTGTTTCCTGTTTGTTTGTGATTATTTCTTTCAACACAAACTAATGGTGAATAATACTTGTTCAATTCAACATATGATTACAGAAATCATAAATGTATAAATATTCTGTCATGAAAATGTCTGGAAAATACAAACATTCACAAAACAACCAATATACAGTTGACTTATTTCATATTATAATTGTCATTAGAGTGGCTCTCATGGCAGATCCACTTCGAAGAATAGAGAAAGTAAATAGATTTGAGCAAGGCTGAACGAACCAGACCTTGGACAGTTTTTACAGTAGACCAATATATGATAATGAATTCATCGCTTTATTTTGATCACTAATATAGCCTGAATTTGATGATACTAATCGAGAAATATAAAATATATCCTTCTCTGTCATTTATTCTTCTGTTCGCTATCATTTGACTCGTCGAATTATGAAAGATTCATCGTCTTTTTCTTAACAAATAACCATTATAATTCATTTGGTGAAGTATTTTACAGTTGAACTAATGTTTACTGATCAACTATGAATTTTTAGGGAAATAGACGTTTATATTTAATCAGATTATTTGTTTTTTTGATGAATTTTCAAAGCTTCTATCCACTTCAAATATTGAACAATTTCAGTAACAAAATCAATGTGAAATTATTTGTTTGAATTTCATTTCTAGGAAAGAAGTCTAATGAAAAAAATAAAGTTTGCAATCTACTTGAGACATTCCCTGAAGCAGGTAAATTAAAATAAGTGATCTTCATTATGATATATTTAAACAACGATATGTTCTCATAAGTTGTAACTACTTATTGGTTTCTAATATCATCAGATATTTACAGCTACTTTATCGGAGTTTTAATGAAAGTTCATTCATCAGTATAGGGTTCTGGAGATTGTTGAATTTCATTAAAATGATGAAATGAGCAAAGTCATATGACTATCTAAAACTCAAAGCACGGAAACGTCGTTTCATCCTAGCGTGAAACTTCAACAATTCGAGTCCACATCGACAAGAGTTAAAACCAAATGCAAGACCTTCTTGGACTGATTAAAGTTGAACATATTCCCTGTTGGATCGGAGCCCCATCGTTTATACGTTGAGCGTTTGCATGACAGACTATAGATCCTGGGTTTGATTCACTCCAGTGAAGTTGTGGATGCGTTCTGTTTAGAAGTCTAATACTAAAACGAAATGATCATCCAATGCTTCCAGGTTTTCAATAGTTGTCTAACTTTGGTCGGTTTGCGATTTCAGTGAAATGATTATCTGTCTACTATCTTTGATTATGGACAAATTAATTAAACAATTCTAGCAACAAACGAGCAACACTGATATATTCATTGAATTGACCAGATGAAAACGCTATAATCACGGCATTTTAGTGCTTCTCATTCACTTCAATTGGCACAAAGTGATGTTAGTAATGTTACTCTATACAAAGTTTGAAAAAATATAACAACTAAATTTCATTGATTAATATATATAACAATTTCACTGATATAGCCGTTTACATTCAACGGAAGTCTAGAAATATCATAGATTCATGTTATTCTGCAAATCATGTTCTCGGTTTATGTAAATCTTACAAATGTGTTCTGAATGTTCGTAAAACAAATTAAATTATCTTTCATCATGCCAAAGTTGGAGTTCACATATAGCCTAGTGGAAAAAAAACGTATCAAAACTACATAAACTACAAAAAATCTAATTGTTCAATTAAGAAATCAAAGGCAACACTTTGATAACATAAACCCCATTGATAGAACCCACAATTTATGTTGACCAAACTATACAAATTCATGAACGTCTATTCATATTCAACAGTTAAATGAAAACAATAAACTTGTAAAATAAAATAATACATCACCAATTATTTACCATTTTGATGAACTGATATACAAAGTTAATTTCTGAATATTTCTACTATTCACATCCTAATTCTAAACTAATGAACGTTCAGATAAGAAAGTATTTAACATTTATTAACAGACATGACAATAGCCATTGAACTCTTAAGAGTATAGCTGATGATTATTCTTAAAATTATTAATTTAAATACTTCATTTTATACCAAACTGAAAAAGTATAAAAAAGTTAAAATAAATGTATCAATATACTTTTAAAATTGATGAAAAATCTTTCTCCTTCTCTTTCTAGATATTCAGGTTTTGAATCAATTAATTTCTCGGAAATATGATATTTTATGGAAATGGAACAAAGCATTATGTAAGTACAGGGGGAGGATCGTGGATGCACACTGCTGAGGAGTCCTACAATAAGACGAAACGGCTGTCTAGTGTTTCCAGGTTTTCCATGGTGATCTAGCTTTAACTGACTAATGATCTTAACCACTGAAATTAATAAAATATTGTATATCTTTTATAAAGAAACTATTCAGAAGATAATTTGAAATGTACCAAATCCTTAGATTCATACACATACAAACAGTTTATCAAATATTCATAGATTGTGAAGAAATTCAATCAATTATGTGAATTTGAAAACATTTATGAGCAATTTATGTGACTTAATAAGAATAAGTAAACAGTCAATTGCTTCGAGTTAATCTCATTGTTTACAGAACGATAGATCAATCATTAATATGTATTTCACTGTATAAAATAATGATTTGTACTTCCTTTAACATTTCAGTTAACTACGAATTTGCTTCGAAAAATATTGTACACACACTAACTTTGTTACAAAAGGTAATTCAAATTCACTTGCTTTTTTCAGAAACTAGCACAAATTTCTCCATTTTGTGTTTGTCTCATTTCAGTTATTGTAAATGATGTCATTCAAGACAACTTGTTAACTGATTTGTTCTATTCAGACATATTTTATGAATACAACATATGAAACATATACAATGGTCGTTAAAACAATTGATCATGTCGATTTTAATAAGGTCACCATCAAACTGATAACTTTTGTCGATGAATATGTTTTAAATCGGTTTACGGATAAGGTTAAAGGATATCAAATCTTTCAGTTCATATAAAATCTAGAGATGGATAAAATAACATTGTATTCAACAACAGTAGGTATGTATTGTAATCAAAATGACCTGCTTGAATATTTGGGCTACCTGTTCTTGCCATTTGAATATTTCAACGAGTTATCTGTTTCCTTGTTTGTTTTAACACATCATTATGCCTATTAATGGCATAACCTATTCAAGGGCGTTTGTGAAAAGTTTACGACATTTCTCTGTACAAGTTGAAAAAGAGCCTAATGAAAGACATCATGGTTGCTGGCAATATGCATCGAAAAGAATATGCATTAATCAGATGTCGATTCCTGAAGTGCTAACATCTAACTGGTGACCACTCAATATTTATCGTAAGGGTCGATCAAGAAATAAGATAAAGAAAACTTGTTGAAATACTTTGTGCTGAGAATCCTACATTGTACCAAAAATATAAAACTGCATAAAACCACTTAATAATAATAATAATAGTAATAAAATCAATTAAATTCGTAGAATAATAAGAAATTCCTATTTCCCTTACAGATGTATAACAACTTGTAATAAAATGCTGTTTGAAAATGTCCATCACAAATATTCATCACACTAGTTCAATCGTATTTATTCGGAGATCCTGTTGAAGATCCTGTATTGACATTTAAATAATTGCCTTATCAATCGAGTTTAAATAAAAACCAAGTTTGTTTGAAAAATTTGTTCTATTCTGAAAAAATGTATTTTTCAAATAATCATCAAAGATTCATAGCACAAACTCATTAGATTTATGGAACAATTTTCTCCTAAAGTTACATGCCAATCAGTTGTGATCATCGCGTAGCCTTGGACAGATCAACATTAAAACAAGCTGCTATACCACATAAGTACGACAATAAGAAACGATAATGAGAAATACAGAATCTAAATGGACACAAACAGTTCTCTGGGAATAGAAGATCTGGAGAACAATAAAATTTGAGTGTATCTATTTAATTGTGACAGATTCTGAACCATGCTATTTATTGTTTACATAAGTGACCACGATATTCCAGCTAAGTCGCCATCAGTTTGACTATAGTGTACTTCTACATCAGTCAATATCACACATCGGATTAGATGATAATTACACTGAAATTACACAAGTCTTAAAGGTTTTATTCGTGAAGATCTAGTCTCGTAAACCAAATTACTCTATTTTCAAAAAGGCAAATAAATGAACTCAATATTGTTGACTCATTGGTTCCACGACGAATCAGAAATGCTTTAAAGGACAAATACTCGCGAAACAGTAGTATACGCATATGTATTTCACCTTCATAGTAATAGAGATCGGATTACTTAATATCACACTAGTCATTTGATAGGTAAACGGATACCTTTCCAAGGCGAAAAGTGACGCGATTCGGTATTAACCAACTTGGCTTTCTGAATTGGTAGAGTGATCTTGTCAGATACCTATTCATCAGGGCTGATGGGACTGACAATTAAAGTGAAGTGGTCAGCACACTCAACTACATAAATTACTCCAGTCGGTTTAAACTGTGACAGAAACTAGTCCCGAAGCAACATTTCGCATATGTAAAGAGAGAACCACACCTATAATAGGCTTCTGTTGTAACTGTAGGTGGTCAGGAGAACCTGCATTATATCACTGTTCAATTTCAATAGAATTGTGTAATCTGAGGGTAGACATCAGAAACAGTTTGAATATACTTAATCATAAACAAACGTTTCGAAAATATTGATACAACGGGTATTACAGCATGATAGTTTTTTATGAAGAGATCAGTTGTCACCATAGTTTTCTGATAGTTCAAATATGTGAAATGTTCATAGTATGTTTTGAGCATGTTGTGGAGCCCGATGTATATACATTCAGATATCATAATTATTTCATAACATTACTGAAATGGATGTAAGTGACAGGATTTGTAATTTTGTTCACAAAACAACTAATCCTTCAATCTAAACACTGCAAATAACTTTTGGTTGACAGTACCATCGGCTTAATGATTTATTTTATGAATTCAATAAGTTAACTTAGTATACAAGATATTCAACCAAATAAACATAATCTTTTTACTTGTTAAGTAACAGAAGACCAATAAAATAATGAGTGTAAAGTGACTGTGACGCTATTTCCTGTCGAAAGCATCATTTTCCTAAAATGCACTTCACTCGAATTTATGGAAATATGAGTAATAATGAGCTGGAGATAAAAACTGTATTCTAAGAGAGACCGGAGTTGAAGCATAAAGATTATTTAAACAGTTATATGATAAATTTACATCCACAAGGTCTGTCCACTAGATATGATTAGTAGAAAAATGATAATTCAACATTGTTGGGTTTTCCTTGCTTTTCTCATGCAATCATTGGCAGTCCATCTTCCTAAATTTAGATAATGATCTTTCAATTCTACCCGTTGTAACTATATAAATATATGCTTATTCGATGTGGTTGAATGTATAGATACTCACCATATTTAGGTGTGTTAGTCGCAACGTAGAACCTGGTATGTATGTACAACGCTTCCAGTTGTCATGCCCCACTAGTACAGAGACGAAATTGTTAGGACACATCCCAGAGTAGTAGATGCAGTAACAGTATCATTGACAATAGAAAAGACCAGTTGTCGAATATCAGATTTAAGAGAACAAAAATTAGTGAAATAAAAACATACGAGAAATTCAGAAGATTAGAATTTGAGAGAGAAGACAGAGAATGGATACACCTGGATCATTGCAGACGATTTCAAGTAATCTTATCAAAAGTCTCCAAACTCTGGTTACGATAATCACGTGGACAACAATCAAGTGATCTACACTTATTAACATGACTGAGTCCAATAGTCAGTGTCTTCATGGACTGATTCCACGTCTCAATCTCACCTCTCCTATCTTCCTCACAACCTACCACCACATCAGACAACATAACCACATGTCGAGGTAGTCGGTGCTTGGGTGTGTGTAGCACTTGTCTCAACCACCTCATTTGACGACGATTTACTACCTCACCAATCGATTTGCCATGTTTACATTGTAAGGTACACTATTTGAAACATCGACATTACTGACTCTTGTTTCCAAAATGCACAAGTGATACTTGAAAAACACCTATGATGGATTACTGGTAACGTACGAATATCTACTATTCTTGTTGGAAGGTGGTGGATATTTGACACCGACAATCTAGAATGGAGCGAACTATTGTGCAGTAAACTCATCCTTTGATCTGCAGAGTGCTATTTCACCTATGCCACAAATGACGCAAGTTGACAAAAACCATTCGAGTCTTATGAGCCCGTGTAGCTGGTGCAAGTTAACCCTGATGCAAAATTTTCAATGATTGGGTGTAAAATCGCATTCCGAATGTGATTGTTGCTTATGCTGGTTAGAAGACTCTGCATATGAGAGTTGGGTGATTATTTCCCTTAAAAATATATTTTTGTAAATTATTCAGGTTCGAATAGATCTTCATTTTGTGCTCATTTGTACTTGTTTCAGAATGAATACTCAATGTGCTAGCAAGTCACGTGAATTGGAATTGTAACTCATTAATTTAAATTTATTGCGCTTACAATGAAGTTCATGAGTAAACGTCAATATGATGAAACAACTGTCTTATATTTCATATAATCACTGATTTTTCAGTTATCAGTGTGTGATTACAATCAACCTGAAACAATTATTTCTTCTTATTGCGAAATGTATCTAAATTTGACTTTCAATAACACCATTACGTCATAAGTCATCCTTTTGTCATTGTTTATTTTAGTGTATTAAATGATCAGTTTTTTAAATGTATATCTTATAATCTTCGAAATCATAATTGAGTTTCATTTAATTTGAGTACTTGAAAATAATTATATCTCAGTTATTTTTGAGTTCCTCGTCTTCCTCCTGCTTTTACTGTTCCTCCTCGACGTTACTATCCTATTCTTCTAGCTGTGGATTTGTACAATGTATCAGTTGAAAATTTCTGATCAAAATTAAATATACTACATTCATTAAAATCACTTCAAATTCAGATTGCTTTTGTAATTCTCTATATAATGTAATAATTATTCAATGGAATGTATTGGATGATGATAATACAATGACTGAAGAAAAATGTTTAGAATTTTTACATGATTGTCCAATAAGATATTGGATATCTATGCATAATTTAGATGAAAGTTGAATATATTATGAACAGGTAAACACTTGTTTCTTATTGATTTATTCAATATAAAAAGTTCTGTGGTTTTACGTTTATTCTCCTTTTATTATTATTATTATTATTATTATTATTATTATTATTATTATTATTATTATTATTATTATTATTAAATACTGAACACTTTATACACTGACTTCTCAACCGCTTTTTAGTCTTCAGAAATCTACAGTTGTGAGCCTTGAAGATTAATATGTATAAATGTAACAACTGTATTGATTGGATTCTGAACACTGTTGATGCTGACGTCACGTTTTCACAATGCAAACACCTTCGGAATGCAATTTTACACCCAATCATTGAAAATTTTGCATTAGGGTTAACTTACACCAGCAACACGGGCTCATAAGACTCGAATGGTTTTTGTCAACTTGCGTCATTTGTGGCATAGGTGAAATAGCACTCTGCAGATCAAAGGATGAGTTTACTGCACAATAGTTCGCTCCATTCTAGATTGTCGGTGTCAAATATCCACCACCTTCCAACAAGAATAGTAGATATTCGTACGTTACCAGTAATCCATCATAGGTGTTTTTCAAGTATCACTTGTGCATTTTGGAAACAAGAGTCAGTAATGTCGATGTTTCAAATAGTGTACCTTACAATGTAAACATGGCAAATCGATTGGTGAGGTAGTAAATCGTCGTCAAATGAGGTGGTTGAGACAAGTGCTACACACACCCAAGCACCGACTACCTCAACATGTGGTTATGTTGTCTGATGTGGTGGTAGGTTGTGAGGAAGATAGGAGAGGTGAGATCGAGACGTGGAATCAGTCCATGAAGACACTGACTATTGGACTCAGTCATGTTAATAAGTGTAGATCACTTGATTGTTGTCCACGTGATTATCGTAACCAGAGTTTGGAGACTTTTGATAAGATTACTTGAAATCGTCTGCAATGATCCAGGTGTATCCATTCTCTGTCTTCTCTCTCAAATTCTAATCTTCTGAATTTCTCGTATGTTTTTATTTCACTAATTTTTGTTCTCTTAAATCTGATATTCGACAACTGGTCTTTTCTATTGTCAATGATACTGTTACTGCATCTACTACTCTGGGATGTGTCCTAACAATTTCGTCTCTGTACTAGTGGGGCATGACAACTGGAAGCGTTGTACATACATACCAGGTTCTACGTTGCGACTAACACACCTAAATATGGTGAGTATCTATACATTCAACCACATCGAATAAGCATATATTTATATAGTTACAACGGGTAGAATTGAAAGATCATTATCTAAATTTAGGAAGATGGACTGCCAATGATTGCATGAGAAAAGCAAGGAAAACCCAACAACGTTGAATTATCATTTTTCTACTAATCATATCTAGTGGACAGACCTTGTGGATGTAAATTTATCATATAACTGTTTAAATAATCTTTATGCTTCAACTCCGGTCTCTCTTAGAATACAGTTTTTATCTCCAGCTCATTATTACTCATATTTCCATAAATTCGAGTGAAGTGCATTTTAGGAAAATGAT